AAAATTTAATTCTTTTTACAGAGTAACTGAAGTTAAAGCTTCACTTCAAAACTTACCAAAAATTGGAATTCAATGAATCTGGACCGAAAGCTAGCAGAGACTCTAAACAAAAATGAAGCTATCAATCATTAAAGTCTTTGCCAACTACAAAAGGCTGCAGAAATCCAGAGTGTGCAGGGACATGTTGAGCTTAGTAGCTTTGCTTTCCTGGGAGTCTGAGCTGTCTGTGTCACCAGCTGGTGGAAATGAGATCAGCTGCACCAGCCATGTTTCTTTTTACAGTAACCAAAGCAATCTAAGGTAAAATGAAACTATGTATCTATTAGAAGGAGCACTGTTTTCCCCTTCTCCCCCACAAAGTGCTATTCATGTGTCTGTGTCTAAAATAATCACTTCTAATATTTTTCTTAAATGGCTGTACTGGAGGATCAAAAGAATATCATAGTAGCAGAATAAAGCACAGCTACATGCTTACTCTTTTCCCCAGGATACCTGGGATGCAGATGTACCGCAGAGAATTCATGTCTTGGTATTATTCTTCTTGTGGAACCAAACTGCCCTTACAGAGCTAGCAGTGCTAACTAGAGTACTGTGCATTTTAAAGGTTGTGTTTTTCGCCTGAGGCCACATCTCTCTTTCAGATGAGATAGGCAATGAAGAGTCATACTGGGCAGAAAATGAGCTTGAGCAAGGCAGACAGAAAGTTCAGTAAAGGGGTGAACTCTATTGCATCCTACAGCACCACTTTTCCTGGTACCTAGACATCCCATAGGCTAAATATTTCAGCACTGAGCCTTGACCACTCAGTGGCTTGATGACAGTATTCCCTTCAAGTCTTTCTGAAGTTCCCTGCCATAGTTATTCTCAGTGTCAGAAAGCAAAGAAGAGCTGGATGAACCTTTCCTACTCTTTCTTTGACAACCACCGAACAGCAGCGTCTCTGGAATCAGCCACCACATCGCTGCAGCACTTGTTCCACCTTCTCCCTGTTGTATTAGGATCTGCAGGACAACTACAGGATGAGGAAGCAATCAAACCTCCAAGCCCAGATGACCTGACAGCAACATGTTTCTATTACTAAGTGCTATTTTGTAACCTTTTCTCTTTGAAGTGGATTTGCACTCCTGATCTAAAAAGTCATCGAGGGTGCAGGGGAGAAAAAAGAATTTTCCCTTTAAAACGTTGTGCTCCAGAACATTTGTGATCCAGATCAACATTAGGTTTTTACTGTCTCTTTTTGAAATACGGCAAGTAGACAGCAGGGGTGTAATTGTTTAGAAATGTGCTTTCAAGCCTCCTAAAATGCTGATGCTAGTGTGTGTCTTAGGCTTCCATGTGCACTGCATATCCTGTAGGAGGGTGTGGAACAGTTCATTCCATGGGAATCACAGCGAGGCGTTTCTAATTGTGACAATACAAATGGAGATGTATAAAACATAACCCAGGGTTTCCACCCTCTCTGGTATGTAGTGAGGTTAGTAGAAATTCTGAAAAATACCTCTGGAAATTACAGCTTAGTCTGAGTTAACAGTGGTTACCCTGTCTTTTCCATCCCACCTAGTTGTGCTGATCATGAGAACGAGATTACTAGTCGCTTTGATGACTCCTTGAAAGCTTAGAAAACCAAATAATGAATTCACAAAACAGGTATTTGTATCTTCTTTTTGTAAAAAGGGTCATAAATCCCAACAAGTATTATTAATGTATTATATATATATATATATAAAATATAATATAATCTATGTATTTTATTATATATAGAATATACTATTAGTAGTTCACTTGATTCCTGCATAACACCATACATGCATGTGAGGAGCTTTATGCATGTGCATTCTAACAACAAGCAGGCCACGAGCAGTTGGTCAAGACTAATTTACAACGTATTCTTACTGAAATCCTTGAGGTATTATTCCAAAAGGAAGGAAACTGCAAAGGCAGCAATAATAATCACTGGCTAAGGAAGAGTTTTATTGTTTTCTACTTGTTTTCTTCTCCCTTGGCAAATGTCACTTTCCAGAATGTACAATACACACATGCATGGTTTTATGAGCTATAGCATGCTAAGAAATGTTTGACATTTTAGTTTTGGCTGCTGCTTCTGGTTTTTATTTTAGAGCTCAGAATACTTTTACAGCTCACAACTGAGAAAGGAACTGCTTGCAGTGATAGCTATTGCAGCTGCAACTCCCCTACAAAGACTGCAATCAGTGGGTCAGTTCTGAGCCACTTTCCATCACAATTGATTCCTGCATATGAAGCTGTTAGGAAATGGCTTAAATGTATATCAGGGGACTGGTTAGTGTTGCATTTCTGGTAACCATGAATTTTTTTCATGATCTTTGCCTCAGCTGTATTTAGATCTTCAACCTCTTCAATAAGTCATTTGAATGTAGACTGAATATAAACCAAGAAACCAGCTAGAAAGTAACACATTACTAATGCTATTAATTATTACTGATGAATTCACAACTCTTGATACCTGTCTTCTCAAGACACAGCTTTCTTCTGTATTTGAGAATACTTACTCCGTTAAGTCTTTCCACAAACTAATACATTGTTATGACTGAGTCAATGGACAAACTAATTGCAAGTGACATGGGAAGTTTTTGTCTATGTGCTTTTGCAACAATTAGCAAAACAGTAGCCTTTATTTACAAACCTTAATAGTCTGGCAGTATGTTTTGCTTTGACACTTCCATTTTAGAGGCACGTTTCTGTTCCTTGGACCTGGTTCTTTGAGTATTTGCTGGCAGGCACTCAACAGCTCTGGCCCTTCACTCACCTCTCAAAAGCTACCTTTATCTCCACTGCCCTCCTATTTCCTTCATGTGAGTCTTTTCTCTCATTGACAGGTTTCAGGCCAGGTGAGGTTATGCTGTGAGGGTGGAAACTGCCCCTTACTCTGTGTCACAAATGTAATCTTTATTGACGTCTGCTTTTGTGTCAGAATAGATCCTTTGTCAATGTAACATTACAATGAGATGAATTCTTCTACACAGTTGGACAAACTTTGAGACACCTCACTGTGCTTCAGGTCAATTTTATAGTCCTCGTCCTTTGCCTTGTTCCATATCTCTGGGAAACTCTGTTTTTCCAGGCTTTTCTTATAGTTCAGTTTAGCCCTCCAGCACCACCTGGGGCACCCAGAAATGTTTGCTGTCAGGTTCCTCTTCTGACTCATGCCAGAAAATCAGGGTCACCCTGATGTACATTTATTTGTTTCAAGAATAAAGGAACTTTTCTTAGGTATATTTCAATGTAAAAGAGAGATTTGAATAATCCTAAATAGGTGTGTATAGATATAGAATAGAATCATATCTAGATCATCATGTATCTTTTAAGTCTCACTTTGCACATTTTGAGACTTGAGTTTACCATCAACCTTCCCAACAGGCCAAGGATTTTAGATTTCACATCACTGATCACAGCAGTTTTCTTCCATTTCTCTCACTTATTTTTAGTTTGTTGAATGAATTAACCTGACTTTTCAAAGATGAATGAATATTAATGTGACTGTCATCACTTAGTTTAGATAATGAGTAGGAGTTCTGATTAAGAAGCCAGTTTACATATGGATGAAGCTCTTTCCCAGTTGCACTAACTCTAGAACTAGTTCATTGAATGAGAAAGTAGTTTACCTTTTTTTTCTCTCTCTTTTTTTTTTTTTTTTTTTTTTTTTTTTTTTTTCTTTCTGCTTGAGCTTAGTTTTGTTGTGCTGGAAAGGGAAAGAAGTACTTTGCTGCTAATTCAGTGGTATTCTTTTGTAATAAGTTAATTTAAGGGAGCTCTCAAGTAACACAGGACAGATCCTGACCTGGAGCTTCTCCACACAGTCACACCCTGTGGTCTTGCCAGAGGTTCCTACCATCTCTGATGCCATGAGTCCACACTGGTGAGCTGCAAATTATATGAACAAGAATTTTGCTTACCTCCTCCTAATTCCTCTTATTCGGTCAATTATTCCTTGAAAGCCATCTCTGTTTCTTTCACCAAACAGGAGTTTGTGTTGCTTAGAGAGCAACTAGAAGAAGGCTACTTCAAGCCTAGAACAGTTTATATTGCGATTTAAAGTCTTTACATTTGTTATCCAAACAGAATGTTTATTTCAAGTGTATTTCTCCCTGGGTTTATACTTTCCTGGCAAGTCTTGCCAAGTCTGTAATTGTCCCCATATGATGGATGAGGGACTTCATGTCAAGAAGGTCTGCTCCATGCTTCTCACTCACCCAACCCTCTCATGGAGCAGGGCTGCAGAAGAGGGCCTCTTGTGCTATGAGGAAAAGAAACTTCTGCATGGAAGGTTTTTTTTCATGACAAAGGTTTCCACATTCTGTCATTCAAAGCCAGGACAGTATCAGAAAAAGCCTTAGAGAGCTGGCAGCAGCTGGAACACCACGGAGTCAGGCAGAATTGTAACTCCAAGAAGGCAGACAGAACAGCTCAGTTCTTATAAAAAAAGAAGGAAGAAAATAAAGGATTAAATGTTAATTAGCTTGGAATGTATATTTTGAGAAGATATCTTTGATTTTTGGGACTTATTTAGATTTTGTTCCATATTTCTATTTTATGGGTATTGTAGGGAGGGAGAATGAAAAGTTGAAAACAAAATGCATAAGAAAGGGATGATTTTGTACTTGTAATAACTCATGACTGCTCTGTGGTAAGGCTGCAGACCTGATTCATCACTGTTGTATTCTAGTTCGATGCCAGTGAAATTAGACTGATTTCCATGAGTCTGGCATGAAATTGAAATAACAAGATGGTGAATCAGGCACTACAGCTCCCTTTCTGAGATTTGTGATGTAAACAAATACATTTACATTCATGTTTGGATTTTGCAATATCTTCAGCTTTTTCCAAACTAGATTGTTGTCTCAGAGTCTATGTTTTAAAGAAATTTCTATCTGTGTAATTTATGAAAGGTGGTTTTATTTCATATTCATATGGCTGTGCACTTGACAGTGGGTCCTTGGATACTGTCTGTGTGATGTTCAGAGATACAGATGATGTTTGGACCAGACGCTGTTGTGTGCGGTGGGATGAAGGATATGAAAATTCTTTTCATTTAGAGGTTGACTTAGGGTACTGTTAGGTAGGATTTGGTCCAACAAAGGAGACTGTTGCCCCTACTCTCAGTACAACTAATAGCTACTTGAATATTAAAGGTGGGAAACACAGAGCTCGGCAAATAAAAATGGGCCTATTTAGCTAGAAAGAAAATTTAAAATGTACAAACAGCTGATACATCTGTCCTGGGGCATTTTAGGAAACTATGAAGGACTGGTTGCAGTCAGGAGCTAGCTGGAAGAAGCTACCCTATGATCTCTGAGCCAGAGTGAGGAGAGGTCTCTTGGTGACAGTGCTGTCAGGCTAACGTGGGACCTTTCCCATGCTACATAACTTCGCTGCAAACACCTGATAGAATAAGCATGCAAATGCTTGTGTATATAGCAAATTCCTCTCTCCCCTATGTTTTCATTAGTATTTCCTATACAAATCCTGTTATTAGTGTTCCCTAGAGGGCCAGGCAGTAATTTAGATGCTGATTAGTGTGAGAGCTGCAGCAAAACCGCAATGTGCTCACTCTCTTGTCAGCACTTGACTGAGGAGGGGAGCAGGCCCTCCAGCTATGTTTACCACAGCAGCTGGAATACTGGAATTTAATGAGGTGCTTTTGCACTGTGAAGGCTTTAAGAAACATATATTTACTCCAGGAGGGCTTACCAGGATATTTTTTTGTAACTAAATGTAATTACATCTATATCCATAAATGCATTCCATTGATAGATACAGGCAAATAAAAACCAGCAAGCAAAAGTCAAACAATTAACTACATAAGCATTTTTTATGTTTGTCTTTTTGGAATTCTTTCCTTTTCTTACCTCAGTGGTTTAGTAAAAAGCAATGAGATGTTAGCTGTCTACCAATGTGTAGTTAGAACTCTGGCAAAAAAAAAAACATTAAATAGTTTTTGATCTTACTTTTTCTTCTAGACAAAAGGAAAGGCAGTTTTGGCAGCAGAAAAGAAACAAATCATATTATGAAATCAGATTTTAGTGAGTTTGTTTTACAAATGCCAATGCCAAATACAGTGATGGTCAAAAAACAGAGAGGCAAGCTTGTAAATGTCCTTATTTTACTGAAAAAAAAAATTGAAATGGGAAATGACTGAAACCAAATTTTCAGAAAATTTCAGTGGCAGGAGAATGAAGAATAATTTTGAAGATTTCAATTTATTTTCCTAGTTCCTGAAATTGCGTGGGTCTCTGCCATTTAGATGTAAGGCTTTTAAACAGGCTCTCTGCCTTGTTGCACAATTAGCACACCACAAGGCCTGGAGCAGAGCTCTGCCTCCCACTGCCCAAGCACACAAGTATCTCCCAGCCCTGCAGCAGGAGAGAGCCATCCTCCTCTTCATCACAGGAGATGGCTAAGTGGAGCCAGAGCCAGGAAAACTATTTTCCTTTTCCAGGTGTATATCATCATTGTGTGTATTGATCAGAACTCAGCAAATGGTTCATTTCTTTAACATTTTTTGAGCGAGAAAACTTTGCTTATGGATATAGCACTGTTTGGCCATGGAGACATCTCATCAAAAATAGTGAAATGAAACCAGCTGAGCTATTTCACAGCAGCAGCATTACCTGATTTGTCTCTAGCTTGGGGGTGTCCTGCACTAAAGTTTGCATGTGAAAGGCTGTATCCATACTTCCCTTCATCTACCTTGCTCTCACCAGTGGCACTGTTTATGCAGGGGTGGGGACAAGATTATAAGAAGGTACCAGAATAACAGTAACATTTGTCTTTCAAGTCTCTCTTCAGGCTCATTGCTTTCAGATTCAAACCATTCTTGTTTAAATCATTCTTTAACTAAAACCTGTTACAGGCATGTGGCTCACGGGCTATTTACACTATCTGAGAAATTAAAGAGTACTGTGCTTATTGTTTTTAAAGGAAAATTTAGCCACTATGGCCAAAACTAACAAAAGTCAAAGCCCTATCAGCCCCCCATGATTTTTATCTGAAACTTCTCAGCTTTGTTTTCCCAAGGAAAGTTCCAAACTCTCAACAAGAAACTTTCTCTAACAATTATACCAGCCTCTCACTGAGTTTCTTTGTGTAAAAGCCTGCCTCTCTGACCTCTTCTGTTCCTCCAGTGCCTGACTGAAACCCTACAGAAAAGGCTTTTACTTGCTCTTGCCAAGAAGAAAGCGAGCAGAGTGCTTAGCTGGATGAGATAAGCCTCTGCTGGATGACTCCACTGCAGAGCCCATGGGCGGTATCAGAGGCCAAATCTTTTACAATAGGTCACATCTTTCCCTGTGTAGATGCTCCGAGTGCATTAACATTATCCAGTGGGAGAAGAGAGGCAGATGAATTTTGATCTTACTCTAAAACAACCACAAGGCTTTCCTCAGCATGGTCACACCGTTTGCACAACAGTGGAGACTAAGGGAAAAGGCGATTAACAGCATCAAGCAGTTAGCATCCTGGCTGTAACCAGCCCCCTTCCACTCCCTGCTCTTCTGACCTCATGTAATGACACCTTTGGGGTAGCTCGGCTTATTATATCAGCTTGGCTGGGAGGCTGTGCTAACAAACATTAGAAAGAGCTCTGCTAATAAGAGCATTTGGGAGATAAATCCCTTGGTGTTTCTTCCTCCATATTTCAGCAGTATAGCCAGGCCAAATCTTGCAGAATTTCCTGTGAGTGGATGACATTTTGCCCTGGGTAAAGACTAAAGACCTAAAGCTCTGATGCTGAAAGGGGCTTTCTGCAGGCAGATGGACTTCCCAAAAGTCTCTCTCCTTAAAGAACTAAGGTTTCATTCAGAAAGTCTATATACATATCTGAACAGATGGAATTATCCTTTAGACTGAACCTTCCATTGGTGAACATTAACCATGTCTCCTCCTGACGACACTGACTGAAGCCTGAATCCCTGTTTATTTGCCAGGTGCTAATTCAGTATGTGTGGGGGAAAAAAAAACAACCAAACCTCTAAATGAAGCTCCAGTATTCTTTTTATGTATCTGGACTTTCCAAATTTATTCTCAGTTCTTCATGATTTCTATTATACCAGTTTAAAACAAAACCACAAAACCTGTCAAGAAATTACTTAATTAGATTCCTGTTACCTAATTAAAGCAGCCAAGAATACTTTAAACTGGAAAAGTGTCATATGTTCGGATTTAGAATATAATAGAGCTGTATTGTGTTCTGTGAGCAATGTTATGGCCTGTGAGGGAGGAAAATGGAGCATCATTAAAAAGACCTCTTTGCTCCTGGACCCAAAAAGAGAGCAAACCCGTAAGAAGAAGTTACCTACTGAGAATCTGAGTTTTGTTTCATGTAAGAGAAAAATAACTGATCAATTGAATTCACATTCTCTGTAATATATTTGTCTAGTTATAAAAATGATAAGGAAATTTCTCATTCTGTATATATATGATAATTTTTTTGTGAGCAGAATCCTGAATGGACAGTGGTCAATAGAAGTGAGAGATTTCATTCTCTCCTGTGAATCAAGTGATATCACAGTCTGATACTTGTGATTTAGTTTCCAATTATTTCCTGATCCCTCTCAGGAGGAATTTACGGTCAAAGACTTTGGTAAAGAAATTCAGCTTATAACTGTCAGTGGATTTAAGAGGGATTTAAGTGTGGGAAATGTGTTTCTTTTGTGTGTTTTCATGCTTGTTAAACTTCCATAGGTGGATAGGTCTGATCTGCAGTGGGTAACTGATATTGTTCTTTTACCTCGTAACTTCCATTCCCATAATAAATTTTGTTGTCACAGACATTTTCTACATGGAATCTCTTGGTGCCACAACTGACCTGTTGCAGTGAGAGCATTGATTTGTACGTGCACTGACTCTCACAAGGACACTTTCTGAGTAAGCCTGTTAGAAGAACACACCTTCAATAATTTATTTACTGCTTTCAAAGCATTATGAGTTACACTGGAAAAACACTATTTCTCCAAGGAAGAATGCTTGCAAAGGTATTAATGTCATCCCTCACTTAGACCAATATGGCTCTAAGTATTTTCCCAGGCTGAGAGCTCTTCATTGAGCTCCAGCCCACACTCTACTCCACCTCTGCTCTCTGTCACCACTAAATTCCCCTATTCACTTCTGCTACAACCCCACTGTCCCTGTCTCTCATACTATCTCAGATACATAGAAGCACTTTCTATCTTCCTTCCTTGGCCCCCTTGCCTTTCATGTCTTCCTCCTCCTCTACAGAAAGAGTTTCTATTTTCTACTCTGTGCCTCAGTCTGAGGCACTCAGGGTTCTCAGCTTCTTTTGTTCCCATTCCTTGTAACCTCTCCTTAAAAATTTATACTCTCCATTGAATTTTATTCATCAAAATGCCTGTCAAAAATAAGGATGTAGTGGTCTTTCTGTTCTCAAAAATTAATGCATGTCAAAGTGTACCATTAGCCAAAGTGCATCTCCAACCAGCTCTACCCTTCCCTTCATCTCACACCTCACTTGGAACACTCCATGTCCTTGAGTTTGTCTCTTTTGCTCCTTTAGATGGAGCCCTTCTTTAAAGGGCTTCTTTAAAAATATCTTTGGATTTTTTCTGATCTCTCTTTACTGGATTTAAAAAAACAGTTTCTTTGTGTGATTTTGTAAGTCTTTCTTAAATTTCCAAGTTGTCTGATGTTATTCATTGGTACTATATGCCCTGTGGATGTGGACGATTTCTCTAACTCCAGAAAGTAGTGGTTCTTGTTCCCAAAGTTGCCTGTCATATATAAGTGCTGCTGGGTGGAAGAAAGGATGGAAGCTTTCCAGTTCTGATACGTTTAATGTCATACACTAGGAAAACCAACTGTGCAAGCCCAAAGGGTTGGAGTTGTGCACATCCTTAGGAACAAGACCTGAGACCCAGCAAAGCTGCTGATTGCAGTTTTTGTTCCTTATGCAAGTCTCAGCTTGGGTTTACAAAACATATTTTTACTCTGTGCAAGTTGAGAATTTGAGGAAGGAATGGGACATTATTTATTTTTCATTGTTTTCTGCTGAAAGCTCCTGATTTATTAAAATTTCAGTTTCCAAAGCAAATCCGGGATCCAGAGCTAAAAAAAAAAAAAATAAAAAAATTAAAGAATCCAGTGTTGGATCACTGAAGTCCATGTCTGTTTGGTACACAACTAATAAGACAGATTACAAGCACATAAATAATCCCTCATTTAGCTAGCTTAACTTCACACCCCAAAGTGCTTTACTAAGGCGAGTAGAGACTGCTGTATTTATTTACAGGTGGGGAAGTCAAGGAAGAGATTAGTCACCTTACCAAAGTTCATATAAATATCAATGGCAGGAACTGGCCTCCTGATTGTCCTCTCTAAGTCAGTATCTGTGGGACCATGCTTTAGTAATCAGTGCTATTTTCAACTACACATTTTAACCTCAAATATAAGTCATTTAAATGTCTTTCATACAAGCATATGGGAAATAATATACATTGAAAAAATCCAGTAAGTCCATTAATGTTTGCAAGATGCACATATACAATGGTAAGCAATACAACAGAAAATTCAATCTCTCTGCCTGGACTGGCTCTTCCCTCACAAACAGCACACCACAAGCAGCCAGTATTATATTTAAGTTAGATAAAGTGATACTGCCTAGACTTAATTCTTCCCTCAGACCTACATTTACAGATCTACCAGCCCTCAGGGGAAATTGCATAGTTATATCTGCAAGTGGAAAATTTTAGAAGGGGCATTGGTACACTGAGAGATTGATATCTCTGTTTATAATGGCATTTTATTTTAGAGTGCCAAACTACTGTGTGTAGATCTTATATGAACTTCATCAAATATTTGGGAAATCATCATCAGAAGACTGACACTTCCTGGCCATTAACCACACCGAGACAGTAGAAAAATAATTTAATTTCACGTAAAACCTAATTAAGTGCAATGGTTAGGAAGATCCTTGACCCTCCTCTGCTTTATACAAGTTGTTCTGACAGGTTCTCAGAGAGATGCTTAGTTTTGTTAGAAATCTCTACTATTGACTATTTCTGCCATGCCTATACCTCAAAGCAAATTAAGGCAACAAAAGTAAGCAGCTGCAGGAAAAAAATTCAGGCCAATAGCATAATGAAACTTTTAGGATGAAAAATGAAAGCTTTGTTAAGCTTTGATTTGCTGATTTTACATGTTACTGTTAAGTGGTCTTCAGTACCAGTATTGGTATATGGATAGCATAACTGAGGCGGGTTTCTTGTGATTTAAATTCTTTAAAGCCCTTTGCGAGTTTGCTGCACACCCTTTGGCAGTCAAGCCTTTTCTGACCACAGAAGGAAACGCAGGCCATGGGCAAAGCAGCCACATGTTCTGATGGCCACTGCTCAGTCCAGAGCTCTTCTGCCAGCCTGGCCAAGGATCGATCTGCTGCTAAGGGCACTCCATCACATGCTGTTAATTCACCAGCAAAAAGTGGGAGTTAAGTGCTCCAGCCACAGTGCTTATGCCTAAATGCTAATCAGGGCCTCTGGTTTTCTGAGACACACAAAGGAGAAAGAAAAGCTGTAAATCAGAGGCGTAATTTCTTATTTACAGTAGTGCTGTAGGGTTCAGGGCAGAGTTGCAGGGGTTAGTGCTAAGAACCTCTTTTGTACCAACTTTTATCTTTCCCT